TGCCCCAATAGAGGATGTCGTCATTGAGGTCCATCCATCTGATGGTAAGTTGGAAATGTGTAACCCTATGGTGATAACTATAATGCCTTTTGTTTTTGGTAAATGAACTTGGTAAGTTGTTTGTACATGTATGTTTGTGTTGTACATTAAAAGCTAAAAATAACTGTATTTATAGCAGAAAAAGATGAAGTAAGGGTGAAAGAAGGAAACAGAGGACAGAGGAGAAAGGGGACAGAGACAAAGAGGAGAGTGGAGATAGTCAAAAGGAGAATGGTAAGATGAAAAGGTGAAACATACAACTATACATGACATTGTTTTTAATAAAATCAAACTGCTTAAGTAAGTTTATTTACATGTGTGATTGTGACAAGTTTTGTTGTGAAGCAGCTATGAGAAGGACTATTAAACTAAAAAGTAATTTTGCATTCCATTTTAATTAGTTCTATTTAACACAAATAGGCAAGAAGAAAGAAGGAAGGCCCTTAGTTAATTAAACAATAGTTAAATTACTTGTACTTTGAATTCACATTTCCTAACTAAAGACTTGGAACAGTTCAGGCCAGCTCTCCGAAGTAAACATTATTTTAAGTGTAAATTAAAGGCTTTATGCCATTGTAAATTAGGGCAGTTGGAACTCATTGAAGAAGGCAGGAGGGAGAGGATGGGGAGTAGTGAGGAGACGAGAGAAGAAACAGAGACAGGGGAGGAGACAGAGACAAGCGAGAGACAGGGACAGGAGAAAAGACTGGGACAGGGACAGAGAGAGACAAGGGAAAGGAATTTAAAGTATCAAAGGAGCATCATAGAAATGAGGCAACACAGAGGAGGGTGGGGTAAAGGTGGAAAGCGTGGAAGAGGAGGAAAGGGAGGGGGCCAAGGAGGTAGAGAGGGTGGCCAAGGAGGTAAGAGGAGGAGCCCCTCATCCAACAGTAAGGAAAGAAGCATAATGAAACACAAGAATAACAATAATCTTCTATGGGATTCATCAGCAAGTGCAAAAACTATTAATTACTTTAATATTAAATGTAAATCCTTTATTTATAGTTCCAAATAAAATTTAATTAAAAATATTACCTGTACACTCAAGCAGAAGCGATGTCTGGATGTAAATGAAGTGTATGACCCAGATGATGTTATTACACTTCACAGAAAGGACTTTTTTGGCACTAGAACACATAGTAATAACTCTACAACTTTTGTAATAAAGAAACTTACTTGTATTTGAAGTCTCAATGCATGGCTGGGCTTTAAATCAATCTTAAGATGTCCAAAAAGCAAGAAAAGTAAGTTAAAATGCTGCCAAGTGCTTCTTTCCTCTTTACCCATTTATTAATTGATGTGGGTGTGGTTTACATGGTGGGCGTAATCACATTTACTACATGAACGGGCGTGACACAAAAACATTGCAAAAAAATTAAAATGCCTTTTTCTTTGTACTTGTATTCCCGAGCCATCGTCCAAACAGCATCCCTAACTGCAAAGTTTTATTGCGCATTGTCATAAATGGGATGTCGTTGGAAAGGAAATTTATTTTCTATCGGTAAGTACCAAAAACTGATTTTACCAAAGTCCTGCAGATAGCCTGGTTTTCTCATATCGGGTCACTTATGTATAATTACATATATTAAATTAATAAACAAGACTTTTAACCTATAATGAATTTCTTTGTTCTACAATGGCAGCATTGCCGCTACTGCTTTTAATAACCATCTATATAATCTTTATAATTGATAACAGATGGCACTAACAACCTGATGCTACCAATCTTACAAATGATTTTGTAATGCGCATGCATAGTTAGTAATTTAGTCACATGATCCCATTCTTGTTTCATTCAAGTAGTATAGTCGCTCGGCTTGGAAGAACTTAGCTCGTTGGCATTCTTACTGAAATAACTACTCTGGACTCTCCTCCA